TGAGGGAGGGTCCGTCCAAGGTAAAGACGCCCCCGTGAGGCTTTAAGGCGGCAGAGCACGGGGCTTACGGCATAAACACATTACTCGACTTTTGCACTGATGGAAATTTCTGGAATCGTTTAATTTATTCCAGAACCAGCCGTTTTGCTATATAGATGTGAATGCTGTCTTGAACCATCTTGCCCTGTACTGCACTGCTGTTTATCTTAGGGACACCATAAATCTGAGGTCATTTCAGGTTGATTCCAAGGACCCCTGAGTAATAGGGGCCTTAAAGAATTTCCCTGGGCTGGGGGCCTAATTTGATATGCTTTTTTGGGGCCCAAATTCTCTAGTGGTGCCTTTGCCCCCATGGGCCTAGGGAATTAGAATTTCACAGACATCCTCTAAACACATGTAGCAGTAAAAAGTGCAATTTGAAATAGTCATGTTTAAACATCTAGTCCTTCATGACTTTCCAACAAATTCAGAATTTAATCTGAATTCTCTTTTAAGCTGTTAAGGTTTATACACCCATTGGCCGCAGGACTGATTAACTTAATGTCTTAGAGGATCCATTGTCCCCCAAAGACTCAATGTGCTTAATGATGGAATGCCTTTCTTTGGTAGAACATGGTCAAGCAGAAGGCATTGAGGGTCCTGAAGCAGAAGAGAATGTGAGTCGCATTTAGTTAGTCTCTGTTGTTATTGATGTATCATTTAAGAACTTCCTGGTGGAACGAGATGAAGCATTCGCACATCAGCATTCATCCATGTTAAATTGTCTTTTCTAAGAATTTTTAAAAATGAATACTTTTTATAAATCTATAAATGACAACATTTCTGCTATGGATAAACATTTTAAGTTCAGCTTTTTTTTTTTTTTTTGTGACTGAAGCTCCAGTGGCTGTATATGATCATGCTTTTAGGGAATAAAATTATTAGCGAAGAAAACTTAAAGAGAATGGTGAAATAATTAAAAATCGGGCTGAACAGTATCACATTGCGATATTTAAAATATTTTTGCTTAGTATTGCAATATTTACAAAACAAAAAACAGTGATGAAATTTTCCCAAAACCTATAGCCAATTTTAGAACTTATCATCTACCAATACAGTGTGTCAAGTAAGTTGTTGGTGTTGATGCAAGGTGGGTCAACAAATGCAAAGCAGTGCTTTGTGGGAAAGGATGAGGAAGAAAAGAGGAAAAGTAAAGTGGAACCCAAGAACAGCCCTGGACCTCTTGTCATTTTGTGTGCGCAGGTACGAAGGCCAGAGAGATAACTTGGCCCAGCAGTCGTTTAACATGGAGCAGGCGAATTATACGATCCAGACACTGAAGGACACAAAAACAACTGTAAGTACATCTGTCAGAGAACAGATTCCTTTCGGCTTAGTTATTTTAAACTGAGATTCTGTATAAGGTTGCTTAATACCTCCCACCACTATGTGGCACACTTCTTTGTAGGTGGAAGCCATGAAGATCGGTGCCAAGGAAATGAAGAAGGCGTACAAGAATGTCAAAATTGACCAGATTGAGGTGTGCTTCTTGTTTTTCTTGTTCAATAAGTGTGTTTGTTAGTCTTTAATCATGGATTTTTCTTTGTGTGTGTGCAGTTTGCATGTTTACCATGTTTACCGTGCTTGGCGGCTTTTATGCGGATCCTCTGGTTTCCTTCCGCTGTCTAAAAAACATGCAACTGAAATTAGCTACTGCGCTTTAACTGACCGTATGTGTCACTCAGTGTGCATCCTGCAATGCTTGGTTGATTCCTGCCTCGTGCTAATTATAATATAATATATATTATTATGTGTATTGTATAATAATTACTTGATTTGTCAGATTAGTCGGTAGATTACTTGATTTTTGATATAATCAATAGTGCCAGCCCTAAAATATATATGGTGTCTATAGGTATATGAAAGTGTTGCACTGCTGTTTATAGATAAACTCAGTGCAGTAGTAATAGTGTAAGATGATTAATGAAGGCAGTATTTAATGTTTAACGGGTGGATGGATGAGGTAGTGTGTCATCAATAGTCTTATAGTGTTGTGTTATTTGTGATGTTGGTTGTGTAGTGTTTTATTGTTGGGTGTGCAACAAATGTCAGGTCATGGTTTTGGGTCATCGTGACCAACCATGGTGGGTTTCTGGTGACAGGATCTGCAGGATCAGCTGGAGGATATGATGGAGGATGCCAGCGAGGTCCAGGAGGCTTTGAGCCGCAGCTACGGGATGCCGGAGATCGACGAGGACGACCTGGAGGCGGGTGAGTGTGAGCTCGGGGGCGGGGTGTGTCGTCACCTCCGGGTAAGAGCGTGGCTGTAATTCCACCGTGTTCGAATGCTCAGAACTGGATGCCCTGGGAGATGAACTCCTGCTGGATGAAGACTCCTCATACCTGGACGAGGCTGCCTCAGCCCCCGCCATCCCCGAGGGGATTCCCAGCGACGGCAGGACGAACAAGGTAAAGGTCCCGTTTATCGTGATCCGCCTGCAGCGAGGGCCTCGCCTGCTTTTGGGTTTTAACGTTTAAGCCAATTCAAAGTCAACAAATCTTTATTGTCAACTTAAGACACATGATGCATGATTCATACACTCTCGCTCTTATTGGCCATAATGCAAATGAGAAGTAACAGATAGAATATAAATACTGAGACATACAAACAGGACATTTTAAAACATGGACATTAAGCTAAACAAAAGAAAACGTTAATCTCTTGATCGTTGACGAATACATTTTAGTTTCTGAGTTTTGACTCTGGGGATATTAGTCCTTTTAGGAGATCCAGTTTTAGACTGTGAGGACCCAGACTGCTCAGCAGTGACATAGACTGGGGATAAAAAAGCCGTTAAGCCTCACTGTCCTGGATATGAGGCTGTAGAACCTCCTGCCAAAATGGCAGTGGAGCCCGGGGTGGGATTTGAACCCCTAACCCTGGAGGTGTGAGGTCACCATGCGATTATAGGTTAACTGCTTTCCTCCAGAGCTCCGCTTGTGGGTTTTCTCCAAGGACCTGACCTCCTCAGCTTGACGTCCCCTGTGGTGTTTGCTGTGATTTTCCTCTGTCAATTCCAGTCATAATCTGTGTACAGGGTTCTTTTGTGCTTCTGCCTCGGAGGAATACACTTCTTTTCTCCTCTCTTTCAGGATGGTGTCCTCGTGGATGAATTTGGGCTACCACAGATACCTGCCACCTAAGAAAAAAAAAACAGCGCTCCAAAATAATTTTTATATGTAAAATATGACTTTATAATTCACTCATATCCGCTATTGATTTTCAATCTGAGCTGGCAGCCTTTTCCCATTTTCTTTTTGTTTCAAAGCAAAATTTCTTTACCGTTTCGGTGTAACTTTGCTGTTTGAAATTGAATGCTAATAAATCCACATTTTCAAATCAACTTCTTTCAACTGATGTCAAGTTAGAAGGTGTGATTTATCTGTCATGCGTAACTTTTTTTTTTTGATGTTTGGAAGAATTATTTATAGCAGGCTGCCGTAACCCTGTAGATAACACTATGGCTTGTATGAAAATCAATAAATTATGTTTTAAAGAAATGCTTGTAGGTAATTTAGATTCAGTACTTTCTTGGTCTTAAAATAATCAAAGTTCAATTTAATTTTTTAGGAATGTACTATGAAATGTTAATTTTTTTTAATTAGATGTTTAACTTTAAAAATTTTTAGTTTAAAACTACCTTCTGGAATCTAGATGATATATAGTATTGTATATCATGAAAGATATAACCTAAACTTCTGAAATGTATATATAATCTAGAATACGGTGCTAATAATTAAGCTGACTAGCTATAATATGTAGATGGAACCATTAAAAAGGGAAATACTTAACCACTGGAATATTATATGTCATTGTTTGTCACCTAGGTAAAAAGTAGGTCATTATAGACTATTCTTAGTGGATCATGAAGTGTGTGTGTGTGTGTTTGGGGGGGGGGGGGGAATTAGGTTTGTTTAACTCTTTAATGGCACCACCTCCCTGATTGACAACCTTGGCTCATGCTTTACTGAACCAGGAACCAGCAATAATCTGGCTCCTCAATATATACCAGTTGGAAACCACTGTTCTAAGTTAATACATGATGGTAAGTGGTGCGGTGAAATTTTCATCATACGTCTCTATTATGTTGTAGTTTAATGGCAGATATGACATGCTGCCGAATACAAATTAAATATTATAGTGCAATAAATGTTACATAATACCCGTGGCACAGTCATACAGTAGATATTATACCTCCTTCAAAATTATCCTCCGGCGATGAATTGGGGTCACGTGATTCTGAGTGACAGTTTATATGCCTGCCTGTAGGATTATGGTCATTGTAGTGTTTAATGGTGGTTTCTAAGCAAATTGCGATACCTTTAGAAAATTGCTACGTCTAATGTCACATTACACATTAATTATGGTATACATGCACATAAAACAGTAATCGAACGCGGCCCTTCTCGTTATTAAAAACATTAAAATTGAATTTATCTATTAATTACAGCAGCACAAAAGTTATAGATAACACATAACTAATGTAATGACTGAATGATCCGTATTGTGGGGTTAAGTATAAGAACAGCATAAATGTCAGCAGTGAGCAGGACATCTTGAATTTAAATCCAGTCTTCGGGTCACAAATGAGGATATTCCTAAATAATGCCTTCAAGCATAAAGACTTAACAAAACTAATTGCTCGTTAAAAAATACGTTTCAATGTTATTGTTCACTTGGTATAGTGAAATTTTTATTTAAAAAAAATCATTTATAGACCCCCGCGTAAGGGTCTGAGTGTAAGACGTGTGGATAAGACGTTTAAAATTTAACATATTTCAATCTGTTAACACAAATAAGAAAAATGGCTGTTATCGTATTCCGTATCGTATAACTTGTATTTTATTCAACTAGCCTTTTGGGCCTATATATAATTAGGCTACATATTATTATAATTGTATATCCAATAATATGTATCATTTATGTGGGCATAACCCGGCATTGTAAAGCTGGCGTGAGCGGCATTTACTGTTATCAATATTTTGACTGTGGGGAGGGTGATTTCCTGTTTAACCAGGAAGCATCTCTAACTAGTCCTCCTGCAGACGGATCGCAGACATGGCTGAACCCACGCTTACGGTCACCGTGGCATACGGTAATACCCTCTTCTGCTTTGCGCCTCTGCACTGGAAATTAACGTATCCGATTGCAAATATATGTATATGTTTTGAAGGGAGTTGGTAAAGTCACCAAAGCTGACATATGCGCCCTTCCAGCCAGCGTCAAGCACAGCGTCGCCCTGCCGGCGCCGGCCGAAGCAGAGCCGCTGCTGCGGGACCTGGCCGAGGAAGTGGCCCGTTTGACCGGTGTGCCGGTCACTTCCCAAAAGCTCATCTTCAAAGGTGCTCCGCCGGCAACTGTCGGGAAAACTATTTCCCATTTACCGGAGTAAAGTTAGCAGTGGGTTCGATATCCGCCAGACATTCACAGATTCTCTCTGTATTTACTCTATTAAAATATTACAAAAACAAGGAAACTCCACATTCACTAATCAGTGTGTTTGTGAAATTACATGCACGCCTTGGTTATTCGATTACTTCATCCAATTATTTGTGAAAATGCAAAATAATGCAGCTCCTGTTGTGAATTAACGTGTTCGCTTGGCTATTGACAGTCCGTAACGTTTCAAAATAGAAGTCTCAAATGGAAAAACAAAGAATTTCTTTAACGGTTATGACCGAAGACATTCAACACTTTAAAACTCCATTCCAATGTGTTACATACTTAGACGAAATCACAAGCACATACTGAGCCCAGTAACATGTAAATAATGGTTTAAGCTAACAGCCATTATTTTTCTATGTAGGTTCATATAGCGCATCCTAAATTTCAGCTTGTGGTCAAAGGACATGATTAACCCTACACATATCCTGTACCATGGTACTTGTGAAACCTCCAGGTGATTTGTGAAATTAAATCCAATATCCATTATTTTCTATTCTGGTGGAACACAGACCATCCAAATGCTCCAAAGCCAAAGAACCCAGCAACAATATTTTCAGCTTGTGATCTGACACGAGTGAACCTGCACATATCATGCACGATGGCTATTGTGAAACCTGCAGACAATTCGTGAAAATAACTTGCATGCCTCATATCCATTATTTTCTATGCAGGTGGAACATAGAGCATCCCAATGCTCAAAAGCCAAATAAATTACATTATGGTATAAGCACCACGTACATAGAAAATAATGGATGTGATTTAATTTCACAAATCACCTAAAGGTTTAAGTGCCGACGTACAGGATATGTATAGGTTTACTCATGTTCTTTAACCACAAGTTGAAATTTAGGATGCCCTATGTCCACCTGCATAGAAAAATAATGGATGTTGGCTTAAACCATTATTTACAGTTTTGCAAGTGTTGGTGGGCCCTGTATGTGATTGTGATTTCGTGTATGTAACACATTGGAATGGTCATTACCGTTAAGAAATTCCTTGTTTTTCCATTTGGGACTTTTATTTTGAAACGTTGCGGACAGTCATAAGCCAAGCGAACACGTTAATTCACAACAAGGAGCTGCATTATTTTGTATTTTCTCAATTTATAAGCTGTAGTAATCGAATAACCAAGGTGTGCGTGTAATTTCACAAACACACAAATGTGTGAATGTGGAGTTTCCTTGTTTTTGTAATATTTTAATAGAGTAAATACAGAGAAGATCTGTGAAAGTCAGGAGAATATCTAATCCACGGCTAACTTTCGGTGATCCATCTTTACAGAACTGATGTTTCCCGTGCTGCCGTCTTTATGATGTCTTGGTATGCTCTAAATATTGTTTAGAAAATTAGAATGTGGATGCATAGTCAATTACTGTTTTTAATATCCATAAATAAATTACACTGCCGGGAATATACACCAGAGGAATCGTCTGGGATGCCGTTTTTTACTGGTACCAAAGATCTTATCTTTGTTGCTATTTCAATATTTTACTCCGGCATATTACGTACACAGCCAGCGTGTCCCAAATACAGAATTTAGGAAGAGTCGATTTTAACAAGCATTGTCCTCCTATTATACAGGGAGGTCATTAAAGGAAATGGACCAAACCCTGGCCAGCTTTGGGGTGAAAGAAGGCGCTAAGATCATGATGATAGGAAAGAGGGTAAGGGCGTTTATATTTCGTGTAATACGCGGTATGCGGAAAACAGCCCTGTCGATTGCGGCGAACTGTCCATTAGCTAATATCAATTTAGGGAGACTGCCAGTAACGATAAAGGAAATGGCATGGACATTTTGCATGCCAATTAAAAGATTTGTCTGTGTAAAATAAGTATTCTTCAGTTTCGAGTACTGTGATATTTTTAACATCAGTTTCTTCGCGTAGAATAGTCCAGAGGAAGAAGCAGAGCTGAAGAAGCTGAAAGATATCGAGAAGTCTGTTGAGCAGACGGCTAAGAAGCTGGACAAAGTAGACGGGGAATTGACGGGTTTGAAAAATGTAATAACCATTTTGTGACTTCAAAGACTGACCAATCAGATGTCATTTTATTCCAATCAGTTCTTGGATGTTACCCACAATGCACTTGGTTGTACAAATTAATTTAAAAGCACAGCAGGTTGCGTATTTTGTGAGACTTGGGGGCCCATCAGCATCACTTAGTTCCATTTTCCCCTCCACTGTGTCTTTAAGAACTTGACTGTATACATACATGAATCTCCCTGACCTTTCGTGATATCGATGAACCATACAGGGTTTCTTAGCAAAGGACCTACAAGCAGAAGCTTTGAACAAGTTGGATCAGAGGGTGAAGGGGGCAGCTGAGCAGTTCATGAAGATCCTGGAGCAGATGGACGCCATGGTACGCGTGAGCCTGGGCTCCACCCATATGTCACATATCTTTGTGTGGCTCAGTAAGTTTGGGATCTGTTCCTGACTTGTGGATTCAAGTCCCATGGTTGACAAAGTAATCACTGGGCCCTTGAGCAAGGCCCTTAACTCTAACTGCCTTTCCATACCTGTCTGTTGCTTTGAACCAAAGCTTCTACTAAATAAGTGCAAATGTCGCTTGTATGTGTTCTTGTGCTACCAGACAGAGCCATATTTATGCACACACAGCTGTCCTTTCAGGATAAAAAAAAAAGAAAAATTCTTCTGTTTTTCAGACCTTGCCTGAGAATTTCAGCGATAGCAGGATGAAGAAAAAAGGCTTGATTAAAACCGTCCAGGTAATCCGGCACCAGTAAAGCCAGTTTCAGTGTGACCTGTACTACGAAGCGGGGTTACTGGCTCATCGGGGTAACTTGTTGGATTTAAGGTAGTCTGGGCAAAATGTAAGTGAGCAAATATTTAGTCCCATTTAAACTGTGGTACCTTACATCGGACAAGTTACCCCGATAAACCAGTAACCCTGCTTCATAGTACAGGCCACTGGTTTTACTGGTAAAGCAGCCCGACTTAAGCATTAATTATGGATGCTGGAGAGATAGTGGGATGCCATGTGTTTCAGTGCCTCCTGTCTCCTTTCAGACCGGTCTTGCCCAGTGTGACCGAATCGAAGCTGGAATTTCTGAACATCTTGCAAAAATCCAGTCCAAGAACCTGGCACTGGTGGACTAGGCCGGAAGGGGCTTTCTGTGTAAATAGCACACCGCTCTGTGAGCGGCTCGTAGACCTGCACTGTGCTCCTCCTCTGGAGCAACCTATTTATCTGTCATGAATTAAACTGGACTTGTTACCACAACAACAAAGATCAGGAACTGCCGTGATATCGCAGTTTGATTTAGTCTAAATCAGGGATTTGTTTCTTTGAAGTGTGTTCCTTGTTGGATACTCTACGGCACTTCTGAAGTCGTCCACCTTGGTGCTGTCCACTCCTCCTCCCATCTTCAGGTGCAAGCAGGTCTTAAGGAGCTTTGTAATCATTTTCTCTGTGCTCCTACGCTTAGTAATCCCTGTGTTACACCTTAATTTTCAGGTCCCACTGTGTACTCAGCTTTCTTTTTTTATGTAACCTATACAATAAGTACTGTAGCTAAGTTTCTGTACAAGGAAGAACGTTCCCGCTATAAAATGATCTGGTTCACTTATGTACCTCAGGTCAAGGCACAGACTGGCTTTCAAATTCATCAAGTTGTCTCCTTGTTCATGATCCATTTTGCAATCCAAGTGAATTTTTAATAATGATGCACATATGGTTATTGTAAGGGCAAATTAGCAAACATGTACCTTCCTGTTAGTGCAAACTGATTAATTCCTGTAAACCTAATTTGGGGAAAATGGATAAACATGTTTCTCACTGGGAACCAGAATGAGAACCACTGTCACAAGTCTCTGAACCGAAACCCGGTGGGAAAGTGAGGCGAAACTTGAGGCCTTCGTGGATTTTTAAGCGACTTGTTTCTATACCATTTTATTCCCCCCACTTTGGTCTGCATTTTAATTTTCATAAAAGCAGAGAAACATTCAAGTGTTCAATCTTACACACTAACAGTGCAACTCAGTAAAAACATTTATCTCTGCACCTTCAAGATGTTGTGTCCCTGTGTGGTTTTTGAAATAAACTCATTAGGTATGACTGCACTCCTTGTCTTCATATCGGGACCATATTAGGGGAATTCCCCTACACCAAGGTAGAGTTTTTTTTTTTACATCCAGAGGTGGATCGATCGGGTCCAGAAAGTAAAAATCCAGGCCAAGATTTTGTTTCAACCCACCGGTTGTGTATACAGAGTCTCAGTCACAGAGTACTCAAGTGGTTGGTTAAAACAAAATCTTGGCCTGGATTTTTACTTTCTGGATCTGGACTATACATTTCTGCTAACATCTCACAAATATGCAATCAGGTGAATCAGACCCTGGTAATTCATGAGAAACAATCACACCTCTAAATATAATGTGATTAAAATTCTAATTGAAACTACCTTAAGTGCTTTGCTGTTTATAAAGACGGTCAATGTTGAGTGTTTCTCAGCCCATCCTCTGGGACTCACAGACCATTTGCTCTGGGGGGGGGGGGTAAAGCTGCCCCTCAGCCTCCTATAACCTGCCCAAGCTGAGGGCATACTATAACCAGTGATGAGACGCTGGACGCTTATCCTCTTTCACTTCTATTTGGTGTGGTTATCCCCCGTTCACTCCCCATCACCAGTCCGTCACCAGTTCAGCCTGTAGCTGTGAGGGAAGATTTTTTTATGCAGGTATTCCACCACCTCTGCCTTGCTGGTCAGCTTCTCAAACTCATAGAATGGAACCTGCAAACAAAGCCCCACAAAAATATCTGGGTATAAATGAATACTAAAGCCTGCATTCGGACAGAGCTGCGACGTTCCATGATTTCCCTGGCTAGGAGCTATCAGGCTCCACAGCATGCAGTAGCAATAAAATTTCAACACATGCATTTAGAACCAATGGCATCTGATCATTTAAGCCCCAGAGCCGGACTTGCACCTTAATAATTCTGCATTCCCCTTAAGGACCCACTGCATACCTGTACAACTTCATATCCCAGAAGCCTCAGGTGCCTCTGTTTAATGGCCTCCTTGCCAAGCAGCCTCCTTGTGTTTGTGGTGAACCGCTTCGGACCATCAATGCACACAGCTATCCTGCGGATCAACACCAAGAACACCTCTGAATATCTCCTAGGAATCATATACTGGATGTCAAATGAGTTTGACGCAAAATGTTCTCCCGAAAAATGTTCAGCTAATAATATTCTGACAAGTTATATCAAACGCAAAAGATCTTCGAATTTTCTTTAGAAAAACAATGCCATAACAGTATAGTTAAAGTAAAAGTTTTAACAAGACAATTCAAGAGTTCACAAGAAAAATTGCAAAAGTTCATACTTCTTAAAGACGTCCTCAAGATTGCTGGCTGGTAAGACATATCCTTCCTCATCGAGCTTTATCTCCACATCTGTACCAAGGACAACACCCATTCATTCACACCAGTCATCGTCATACACCAAAGAGCTGGAGGAAAGTATAAACAGCCCAAAACACTTCAAACTCAACTTAGCATTTCTCTGTCCAGAAATGTCACATTTCAACAGTGTTGGAAATTTCAGGTCCAGAACGTAGAAATCCAGACCAAGATTTTGTTTCAACCGACCGGTTGAGTACTCTGTGACTGTGAGTCTTTATGCTCAAATGTTTGGTTGAAACTTTCTGGACCTGAAATTTCCACCTCTGCATTTAAATAGTTTCTTTTCACAAAATAAAGGATATTTCTTACTCTTTTTGCCAACCTATGCTTTGTCATTATTTCTTTCAAAAAGTATCCTGAAACTGTTGAAATGCAACACGTTCTCAATATTATTCATCTAAAATATTGGTCAACTTCACCTTAAATTTCCTCATAGCAGCTTACAAAAAACTCCCCAAAACCCAGTACCAAAACCAAGTCTGGTTTAGTTCTGATTCCTCGGCAATCATTCGCTAATCTATACAGGGGGCTTCTCACCTAATGTGTAGCAGTACGGCGTCAGGACACGGGAAGCAAAGTAGGCCCGGACCCCCAGCAGGTCGATCAGGCCAGCTTTGACCGAGTTGTAGAGGTGTCCCTCCACGGGAGTCTCCAGGGACCGGCCGGGCGCGAGGAAGGACTTCACACGGTACTTCCGATGAAGGCTTGGTCCCTACGATTCAACAGTCAGGTGCATTGGCAAGGAAATGGAGAATTCCCAGCAGGGAAGATGCCAGGTAAGAGTGGAAACAGCTCATAACAGCCAGAAAATGGGCTTCTGATGAACAAGGTGCTCACCTCGTAGAAGGGACACTCCAGCTTGACGGTCATGTAGAGCTGCGTCAGCTGTGAAAGTATGATCCTATCTATTCCCGTGCCTTGTTCTGAAACAGATTGAAACAAATGGGCAGGTAAAACACTGAGGTTACCCCCAAACTTTGTACCAGTTGGTAGGCATGTAAGTGCACTGACTGGAAGGAAGTGTAAAAACCGGCACAGAACACTTTCAGATTCAACTTACCATTTCTCTGTACAGAAAGATCACATTTAAATAATTTATTCACAAAAATAAAATATAATTCTTGCTCTTTTTGTTAATCCATGCCTTGTCAAAAACTGCACTGAAATCATGGAAATGCAATGAATTTTCAGCATTCTTATTATATATATATGAGCTGAGTGTGAAATTGACCGATATATATATATAATCGGTCAATTTCACACTCAGCTCATAGATGCTTTAAAAAAAAAAAAAACCCCAGCAAACTAGATACCAAAATAAAGCTTGAAAAAGATTCAGGAGATACCAAAACCTGGGAAAATGAGATCCCTACTCTTCAGATCAGGGGGCACCCCAGTAGTCATATCTCAAAAATTGTTAAAGATAATGAAAAGAAATAGAGGAAGACAGACAGACGGACAGACAGACAGACAGACAGAATTTATTAATTTCTCGGGAAAGTTCCTCCGGGAATTATATAATCTTCTGACTTATCAAATCTAACCTGGGCTAATTTTTCATTTCTACCAGCCTGTAAGTCATAGCACCCAGCCAACAGAGACTTCCGTGAGCCGCTGAGGAAGACTTTACCTTGAAGCTGTTGGAGGAAATATGGGTTGAAAACCTTGGCCACGAAGTTGAGGGGGAACCTCTCAGCCAAGGTGCACGAGTGCAGGAGGTTGAGCGCCGTGCGCGGCTGGAACTGCGAGAAGCGCGAGTGCAAGATGGCCTCCACCTTCCCGAAGAGGACGCTCGCATTGGGTGGGAGGTACGCCAACTTCCCGAAGGGCATGATCTGCCGGGCAACCTGGCTGGTGCTGTAGCTATCCGCCCGGTACACAAAGCTCTCAGCCACCACGTCGAAGATGGCCGGTGAGAGGATGTTCCGGCGAGCGAGGTACTGCATCACCTTGGAGATGGTCTCCGGATGTGACTCAAAGGCCGTCGCCGTGACACGCCTCTCCAGCGCCTCCACAAAGAAGCGGTCGCTATGGCCGAAGTGCATGAGGGCCGCCAGCACCGCTGCCAGCTCGCTGTCCGAGAAGCTGACCATGTGCCGCACCGCGTGCTTGCTAAGGCTAATCACCAGTGGCATGGCCTGTGTCTGGTCGAGGGCCACCAGGGCGATCAAGACCCGACTGATGGCAGACGGGCCGAGCCGGCTAGCGATAGACACGGTGTGGGTGTTCATGGTGTTCAAGAGTTCCTGGTAGCGGCCACCTTCTCCTGCTCCGGCCTGGAGCAAGCCATAGACGGCAGCAAGCTCATCCGGGCTCCAGTTCGCTGGGGATCCAAGTCGCACCTGATCCATCACCTGCTGTAACATCCCACATCCAGGCCCTTCCAGGGCCAACAGCGCTTCTCCGAGGCTACACAGCTGTGCTACGGAGAACCTGTCCCGGTCTAGTCGCTCCTGGCTCTCGGACACCAGTCGCACCACCAGCGTGCTCCAGGGATCCACGTAAAGGCGCGTGCAGGCCAGCAAGGCGGACACCAGTCCGGCCTCAGTGAGCCGCCGGGACTCGTGCTCCAGCTGGAAGCAGAGAGCCCGGACCACGTCATTTTGAAGTACCTCCGCGTCCCTTAGGCCGCCCTCCCCCAGCTCAAGGTCCGCGATGCGGTGCAGGGCCGCGGCCGCCATGGTGTCTGACATCACCTCCGCTGTCTGCAGGAGACGCAGGACCTGCTTTGAGGAGCTGCAGTCCCGGAGCCTGTCTGAAAAAGCCCGCTCGTCTTCCACAGCGGGCCGGTGCAGCTGCGTGAGTAGGAACCGAGGCATGGAGTCGCCATGGAGACACACAGACCCGAAGCTGAATATCACTGGGTCCCTGATGACGGTGGAAAGGTGTGCTCTCCCACTGTCAAAAGGGAGAGGGTGGCAGACCCTCCTCTTCCAGACAGTCTGGGGACAAGCAAAGCATGCGGTTTGCACCCAGGGCTCGATGGGACTCCGGGAGAACGATGCTGCCCCGTGAAAAGCATGAAGACCTCGGCGCCTCCGTACCAGAATCCTCGTCACAGCGCGAATCAACTTTAAAGCCATGACGCAGCAGGGAAGCTCACCTGGACTGGGAGCCTACAAAACAGGAGACAGCACAGACCATCTTAAGTACATGTTTTCAAAATTTCACGTCTTCTAGGCTTCTAAATAATTCGAAAAATCTGCTTCAGTCACGTCATGTTTATTGTGTTGCTTGGGTTTCGGGTAAGAAGCGAACCTTAAAGGTTTTAGGGATGGATAAAAACAAACCGGTCCGATTTGCCCTTGGAAAATTAATGCCACTGCTAGGTATCTGACTAGTATGTTAATTATAGACTGGCTGAAACAGCCGACTATTTGGCTTAGTGCTTTTTTTGTACAGGTCTTCCTAATATACTTATTCAGATAACATGTCCACAGTTCATGTAAAAACCTTTATACTACCTTTCTGAAAGCCCGCTAGCACGTTACGGATCCGGCATGGCTCCACAGCTACCGATGACAACCGCGGTTTCACTTCCGGGAGCGTGATGACGCGCAGGGGGCGTGGTTGCGTAATGAGCGGCGTAGTTAGATAGGTATCC